GAGAGAGAGGAGGGGGCGTGGGGGTTGGGGAGGTGTAGAACTTTTAGCAATTTGTTTGATTTTGTGCTTATTGGAAGCGCGCGTTTTGCATAAGCAATAAACATAAATTATCGGCAGCGTCCAGCAAAACGATGCTGACATTTATTTATGCCCATAACTCATTGAAATCGAGCACTGAACACTGAGACACAAAAGTATGCTATCATATTTGTGAACCATGCACACAAATACAGAAAAAAATCGACCTGAATTTGAGAAATTCGCTATAATTTTGGAGCCAATGATAACTCATCTTAATTGTACAGCAAGTAAAAATTCTACTACTGGCGTTTTTGTTACTAGTATTAATTATTAAATATTTGCATTTTAAGATTTCAAATATACAAGCTTTTTAAATGGCTTATAAATTCATATAACTTGATATGAAAAATAGTACGATTTTACGGGGACTTGAACTAAATTCGAGGCAGTGAATTACATAACTTGTTTGTGAATTATTGAAAGGATTCCTTTTTTAGAACGAAAGCTTGAATCTATATTTATCAGAAATGCGTTTATTAAATTATTATTATTAGTTTTCTGGGTTTTTTTTTTCTAAAATTCAGTCCGATTTTTTTGGACGAGTGTAGGAAAGCAACTGCTTACAAAAAGTTGACTTTACTTGGGCTACTTTGAATATTAACCTATAAACTTCGCCATTAAGTGTGAGCGACAGTTAGATTAATGTGTGACATAAATAGCAATATTAATTGCCAATGCACGTAAGCACAAACTCGATATATATATATATTTATAGAGATGTTATGTGAGTTGACCACATCGCATCTGCAATGCTGTGATTAGTTTTCAGTTTGCTGCCACTTGTTGATTACTTTTAAATGAGTTTTGCTCTCGGCTGTTGCTGAGCTAAGCAAGGAGCTGATTGATATTTACGCGCGTTTGATTGAAGTGTAATCAGCAGACAGGGAGGGGGTGGTAAGTAAGTAGCAGCAAAATGGAATATAAGTGAGCAAATCGTAATTAAAATTGCGCCAAGCGCAAGAACAACGCAACAAATGACGCTTCAAGGCACAAACAATATGCATTAGAATGTGCAAAAGAAGAAGAAAAAAGGGTCAAAGCACTCAAATGGCTGTGACAAGGACTAAGTCCCCCCACCCCCATCTCCCCTCGACTGTTGACTGCTGACTCCTGACTGATGGCAATGACGGTTGCAGCAAAACGGCGTCGCCGGCGCTGCTAATGAAAATGGTTGCATAAACAAGCGCAGCGCAGCACACAATGAATGGCAGTAGATGCAACATCAGCAGTAGCAGCAGCAGCAGCAGCAGAGGCAAAATCAGCAGCCGAGCAGCCAAGCAGACAAACAAAAGCAGGCAACGACAGGAGACGCCTCCAACTTACGCCCCCCGCCTGCTCCCCTCTCATGCGACAAAAGATGAAAGGCGCATTGCCACTCATAAATTTATATGTGTTTGTCAATGTGCGCTGACAAATGGGAGACAAACGAACAAACAAACAAACAAGCAAACAGAGAGACAAATAGGCAAGCAGACAAATAGAAATACAGAACTGGAAGGAAGTCGACTGGGAGATACCCTCGATTAGCATGCATTAGAATAATTCTATTGTAATCTACACGAAAATTGTGTTTTTTATTCCTAATTTAGAGCATATTTTAAAAAGGATCCATTTAAGCACATCCATATCTTCAATATTGAATTTATATTTAATATTCTTTTTCTTTGTAATTATGTTTCTTATTACCATGGAAAATAGATTGTTATCGATATTCGCAAGACGTGGGTATTTATCGATAAAATGAACTAAGCTTGAGCTGCCTTTGATATATGAAAATATTTTAAATTTTAAATCTGGAGATCTTATAGAATCTGAGATGAGTGTGTTTACACAGACTTAATCGACTTGATTGCTAAAGCTGATCAAGAATATCTATACTTAATGGGGTAACAGATGCTTCCAGACAGATGCCTGTTACATTCCATTGCAAGACTTTATTATCCCCCTTTTTAGGCATTTTGGAATGGTCTCGGGTTATAAAAACAGAGCACTGCCATCCACTCGTGTGTGCCCCGATAGACAAAGGCTCTATGCAAATGCTCTGCCAGTCAGTCCAACTGTCAGTCAGTCAGTCAGCTCAGCAGTCCATCAGTCCGTCTGTCCGTCCATCAGTCTGTTCGTTTGTCAAACACTCAGACGACGCCTGGGCTTAAATCAAAGTGAAAAGCGTGCTAATTGCATTAAAAGCATATACAAAATGCAAAATGCAAGTGGCTGTGATAAATAAAAATTCCAACAGCTTCAGTTGCCTATCCACCCCTCGCTCCTCCCCTTTCCTCTAGTTACCCCAGTCACCACCCTTCTACTCTAAACTCCCCATGGTGGCCTCGAGGCTTGTGCTTTTGTGCATATGCGCTCTGTGAAATTAAGCAAATAAGCACGTGCTCAGTGGCTCATGCCACAAGCCGTGGCAGCAACTTTGTAGCATGCGTCTTGCTACTATTCATAATTTTTAATTGCTACTGCAACTTTAAATGTGCCACATTTTGGCCGGGACCTCAACCTGGCCAAGGCTAGCTTTGTTTTTATTTTTTCATAGCTATTCAATTCGATTTAATTGGTGTTTAATTTGTTAAACACCACTTTTGGTAGCTTAATTCATTTATTTCAAACTCCGCCTTGACTTTGTATAACTTTTGCTTTTTGACTTCAATCAGTTTCCATATTGTGAGCATTTCTGCACAGCTGGCCAAACTTTTTTTAAGGCTTCACACAAATTGATTAAAAAGGGTTTATTGAAGTTGTGCAAAAGTTAATATACCTGAACCTATGGAATATAATTTTCATATCTCTGATAAGACACGATCGCTTACCAGGCTCTATTCCTGCTTATACCCTGAACACATTAAATATGCCAATAGAGCCTTTTATATATGCAGATCAAATGTGGATGACGGCCAATTATCAACATATATAATTAAAGAGTTGGCGTCAGTATAATAGTACTTCTATTTCTCGAAGCATTTATTAAAAATATGACTTATTTTATGGTGATCAGATCGAGACATCTTCAAAATCTTAAATGATTTAAGCTATATATGCTAAAATTTGCATAATTGTTCATCTAACAAGAGTCATAGAAGATCACCAGAACATGAGAGTCGAATTCGTGAAGCGCATTGTTAATATCGTGACTAAGAAATCGTCTAAGTTTCGAGTACCTAAAGCTATCAACTTGTCGGTGAAATAAGTCTGGGAAATAAGTCGTTGTTTTATAGAGTCTAATATTGCGTTATAAATCCAATACTCATTTTTCACTATAATATACTTATAACTATTATATTAATAATAAGCTGGAAGTAATCACTCCTACATACACATATGTCCTAACCACCGTCACCAAACATGCCTCATCAGCTATTTCAATACTCAAACAACCTACTTAGGCAGAGTCTGAAGCTTTGTTAAATATAATAGATATGTTGGGTATAAAAAATGCTTACATAATCGCAATGGGTTGCTTATTTTTTGGTTGTTTTCAGCTTGATTATCGGTAAATGTTTTGTTTTGTTTGGTTTATGCGTGGCAATCACGACTGAAATTCAATCGTGGTATGTGTTGATATATGACACGTAATCAAATGTTTTTTAAGTGCATGGCACACGCAGCTCCAACCCTGGCCCATAAGTGCAACCCCCAACGTAAAAATAAATAAGGCACATTAAAAGCAAGAGGCGAACACACAACAAAAGAGGTGTGTGCCGAGGGGACGGTGGTGCGGGTGGTTCAAATCCGACAAGTAAATAGAATAACAATAAAATGAGGCAGGCAGCGTCAGCAACAATAAAAAATAGATGTGGCAACAACAAAGCGCGCGGCAAGCACAATTGCTGACAATGACAGCTCTCGCTGCAGTTGCAATTGCAGCTATGTAAAATATAAAAGGAATATATAAAAATGTTGCCTACTTATTGGGGCATATTTTAGATTTCGATTTTCACTGCATTTTATTTAAAGACTTAATAACATTCATTATTACATAATAATCATTTACACTGCTAACTGCTAAGATATTTGATGCACTTAACTTGATGGAATTCTTAAATATTTTGCAATTTTTTGCATATTTTTAAGCTTATGCTAAACATTCAACAATTTTGTTTGCTTTAATCTAACCAAGATATGCACTGGATATGCACAGGTTTGTCAATGTGTGTACATGTGTGTGTGTATTTTTGAGAGTGTATTTTAGAGTGTGCGCTGAAGCATTAACATTACAAAGTAGAGGAAGAAGAGAAATAACTGTACAAGTTATGCCTACCAAATAGCTTATTCTGTGGAAATGTACAGTTCGCCCATTTTATCTAGGTCAAGTTTGCAGATATTCTTATATATATATATATATGTTTATTCATTTCTATTTGAGTACATTCCGCTGCACAAGCTGGGAATATTTGAACATATTTGAAATTGTTCAAGCAGCATTTGAATATATTTTCTTAATCCAATTTCGCTTCATTTTTTTTTATATATTTGGTTTTTTGGCTTACGCTTTTTGCGGTAAATTAGGTTTACACTTATGGCTAGTTACAACAATATATATTCTTGTTTAAAGACATTGAAATCTAGATAGAAATTGTGTTTTTGATTTCATTTTAAGCATCCAATGATGAAGACTCTAGTTTTGTCTAATTGTTGTCTTAAATTTATAGCAATATATATTTTGAACAGGATTCCTTTAACTATGCTTGTACAGATTTGGCTACTTAAGTACATGCATATCTTTAATGTTTAGGATATATTCAATATTTCTCTTCTTATTTTCTTATAACAATTTTGAGCATCTTTTTCTTAGCCTGCATTAAAAGCCCGAAAGGAACAACGATCTGATAGAGACTTAATGCCTGCTTCCACTATCAACATTTCTTAGAAAATTATGGCAATGAATAACATAAAATTAATAGGCTTATTTTAAGATATAATTATACTTTAATTGACTTTATATATGTTTAATAATTGCGAATAGTTTAATGCCGAAGGCAACATAGAAATGAAATCGATTTTTTTAATTTTTCAATTTCTTTGTTATTCATTTGGGTGTTCATAGTCTGTCTTATATTTTAAGTAACTTTTTCTTATTGATTTCGCAAAGAGAAATAGAAATAATATAATAATTAATGTGGGAAATGTGGTTCATAGTGGAAACAGGCAAGAACTCTACACCCTTTACCCCACTAATAAACTTTGTCTGAAATATGGAATACATATATATGTTTATACCTTATGTACAATGGCTAAGCGCAGCTACTGCTTCAGTTGATTAATTTGCGCACGGCATATGCGGCGTATACGTAATGTGGGTTTTTTATTTTCTATGCAAGTCGAAGAAATATTTACACGGAACCCCTAAGTTTGTGGGATGTCACCGAGCAGTCGCCATATATCTTCGTTAATTGTTATCTGGCGGCTAATTGGGCCAACTGGCAGTGGTCATGTTGGCAGCAGCTGCTGCTCCTGCTTGTGGCCATCGTTGTTGTGGTGGGCGTGACTGGCTTAACACCCAAAGAGGCGCTGGCAACATTACACAGAAATGCTATTAAGACGGGCAACGCGTACAGCGAAATGCGTGCAATGGATTTGTGGCCTAATATCCTCGACCAGCCCATGGATGCGGACAAACTAAAGCTGGAGGATGCTGCTGCTGCTGCCGCAGCGGCGGCGGCGGCTGCAGATGTTGCGGCCGCAGGACGACGACTCTTCTTCAGCTGCTTGTCTGCGTTATGAATAGAGGAGGAGGGAGAGAGAGAGAGAGAGAAAGAGAAAGTGGCAGGTATTTGTTGCATCTTCGACAACTGTTGCGCTGATTTATGATTGATGTTGCGTTGACTCACCTTCCAGTGATTTGTCCTGATTCGTTCGCACCGTCTCCCTGGACTCCAAGACGGGTATGCGCTGATGTTTATCACTCTCCACACTCTCCTCGTTGCTCTGCCAATACACCGACGAGATTTTCGCGACACACTGCAAATGAGAGTAACATTCGTTAAAATCTTCCCCTCCTCCGCTCTGCAGCTGTTAACGGCCTCATGAAATCTGTGCCGGACACTAAGTGCAACAATAGCTGTAGCTGTGGCAGGGGCTGGTTGCGGGGGCACAGTATTTGTCTGAGCGTTGACGGCGCACTAAAAGTTTTATGCTTTCATTAACTGACACACGCGCTGAGCTGATAACCCAAAATGACTCTCATATGGAAATGGACGACACGGTCGGAGTGACCAGAGCGGCCCACGATACGTACACTCCGAAAATGAAAAGTGCACCAAATATTCAAAAAAAAAGTTCCGGTCTTTAGCATAAAATTTATTACTGTGCAAAAAAAAAATGCTGTTTGTCTGTAGAAGACAACTAAAAATCAAACCCTGGGAATTTAGACAAATTATTTATAAATTATAGATGTTTATAGAAAGAGAAGCTGTCCTCTTTGAATTACACTATCTGTGTCAAAAGTGTATTAATTTTCAGTCTGATTATTTTTCTCGAGTGTACGTAGTTGTTGCCCAGTAGCGAATTTGTCGGTCGCCTCATAAAAGTTGTGCATGAAATTTTTGTGGCCTTTACGACAGACACACACAGCCATACACACACACACACACAGCAACACATACACACACAGCCACACACCACTGCTGTCAGATAGTAATCAACATGCGCTGTCATGTAATGTTGTCGCAAATTGAATCAAAACGTTCATTCCGGCCATGGAATCCAGCTCCAGCTCCAGCTGCTACAGCTACAGATACAGCTACAAATACAGCTACAGCTACAGCTCCAACGAACTGAGCTCTAGCCAACGTCCAATGGCCAATGTAATGCATCAATTTCAGGGGCCATAATCAGCTTAAGACCGATCCGATGCTGGGCAGGCAGCAAAACTCACCTTCAGCTTCATGTCGCCGTGCTTGAAATGTCATCCGCGCACCCGAAACTCCAGACCCAGTCGGGCCACTTCGAGTCCCTCACGGCCAACGACGAGCGGCTCGTAGGGGCGGAGCAGGGAGCGGTTCGCATGCAAACCGTTAATCAGCCAGCTGAGATGGCAAACGGGCTTCGATGGCGCCGATGTGCAATTGACGCGAACCACATCGCCAATTTGATAGCGAGGCTGACCGCCAGTGATTTGTGGTCCATGCTTCGGCGTTACTGCAACGAGAAATAAGTCCAACACACACACAGAAACACATAGAAACAGGGAGTGTGTGTGTGAGTGTTGGCCACGTGGATTAGCCATTATAAAGAGAAAAGATATTCGAGTGTAGACCATAACTTATAACCGCATCATGTACACAATTGACCAGCTTAATTAAATAGTGCTAGAAAATCTGAAATCATGCCAAAAAAATAATTGATTGTCAAAATCGGGTCAGTTTTGACCAGGTTATGGCGGTTGAAAGTGTTGAGCCGTTCCCAGCAGCACTTTCTGGCTCTAAAATCTAAGCGTGGAAATCTGTCTGAATTGTGATTTCAACTCTAAATATAGTTTTGATCTGGAAGCTGAATTTTTTAAAATCTCTCAATTTTAAAGAAAGTTTTGAACCACTTTTTGAGGTAAGGATTTTAACATGGAAATCGAGATAAAAATGCATTCAAAGCTTTTAAAATAGTTCTGATCTACTTTATTATTCTAGAGATCAAGGAGTAATCAACAAGACATGGTTATTGAAAATATATAAATTTTTGTCCAAGTGGTGGCGTTTAAACAATTTTTCAAATGCAGAAGCTATTCGAGTTAAATTCAACTAAACTAATTTTCAATCTGGAGATGCTTTGTCATGATTATATATTTTAGATTTTGGAGATGCTTTGTCATGATTATATATTTTAGATTTTTACTTTTATTAATTAACTTTGGCAGATTTTTAATTATGAAGTCAAGGACTTCATACTGCGTTAATTAATATTTCACAGTTTAAATGTATGCAATTAAATTTCCTTTCAGCTAAACAGAAGACAACAATTTTACTAAATTTGGGCATTTTTGTGGGTTCACTTTTCCAATAGCAAACAACAATTGGCAACAATGTTGTTGATTGTTATTGTTGTTGGTGTGTTCATTCTTGTTGCTGTTATCGACGTGCATTGTGTCTGATTTTGACCTGGATGTTTGCCAATTGGGTCAGTCAGCCGACCAATAAACAGTTGAGTCAGCTGGCCAGTTGGCCGGCTGTTCAATTCGATTTAAGTGGAAATTTAACAATGAATCTAATTAAATTGATTGCATCACATATATATATATATATGTATATATACATATATAATTCCATTCCCGCTTTTTTTGGGTAATGAAAAATCGGCTAAATGGGTTCTTAAAGTGAATTCCCTTATCTTATGTCTGGCATAATTTCTTTAAGTACAAAGTCGATGACGTCTTTTTGTGAGAGTCGCCGTTTTCACTTCCGCTGGCATTAAAAATGATAATAATAATTTTGATTGCTCTTGTATTAATATTTGCCTCCTGCTTCCGCCCACAGCAAAATTGCTATAATAAATGCAAGGCCTTGTGCTGAGCCAAAAAAATAATAATAATAATAACTCAAATAAAAAGTGGATGAAAGAGAAAATGAGAAAAGTAAAAGACAAAAAAGCAAAAGGGAAAATTTCTGCATGCTTTGTATGAATTTTCAGTGCTCCATTATTTGTGTACTGCTTTCCACATTTTGCTTGTTTTATTTTTATTTTATTTATTTATTTTGTTCTCTTATTGTTCAGCTCTGCTCAACTGCATAAATTATTACTTTCAGTCGTTTGTTTTCTGTATGAGACGCGACTATTTTAGCTCACTACTCGCTGACATTGATTGAGCTGTTGAATACTTTTCTTCTTTATTTTTTTATTATTATAATGTGCACACTTTTACCCCTTTCTCTATAAAAAAAATGAACTCTTTTGTGTTGACCAATTGGTTATAATTGTCGACCATTTTGGTGGAGCTTACATTGTCCAACATTGTTTGTCTTCAAATATGAAACCAGTTGCTGCCCCATTGTCTGATAAACCCAAAAAAGAGTATATATTTATATATATATACATATATATATATACACAAATTTATCAGCTTGCAAAGCCTAAGCGGAAAATGTTTATTGGCCAAAAAAATTGCATATATGTGGCACATTATTATTGGAAAGCTGGCAGCTTATGATAAACTAATTAAGTGTGCAATGTTTACTTTGCTCAGTCGACAATATTTTCCGTTTATGTTTCCGTTTCTATTTTCAAATTCAATTTCCGCACCTGTACTTCAATTTAATCCGCTTTTTTTTTGTTGTTGCTGCCAGGCAGAAGCTATCAAAACCATCTGAGCTCACTAACTGGGTCAACAGTATTTTGCCTCGTCATTTAGCCGGTGCGCCAGTAATCGCATTCAATTATTTAAGCCACAGCGAACACACAGACACACACACACACACACATCAGTACAAACACTCAAATATAAGCCTGAATATACTGTCGCATTAATTTCAATATTCCGGCAATTTAAATCTGCCTTTTCTCTCTTTTGCTCTGCCATTAACAGATGATTCATTAACTTTATAGATTTTGCAAGAGTCGCTGCTGATTTGAGCCGCTTACGCCAAGTATGCGGATGGGGGGAGGGAGGGGGTAAAGGGGATATGGGAGGGGTTATAGTGATTCAGATCGCTTGGCAAACATTAAAGTCAAGCACAATTATATATGTAATTCCCCTGGCTAAAGCGGAAGCGTGCAGCTCTGATTGCAGTATACGTCCTCGAATATCTTAAATATATATATATATATATATATATATATATATATATGTATATACTTATACCCCGTTGGTTATAGGCCCAGTTAGTTAGTTAGTTAGCCTAATTATGCGATATGCACAGTTTGATAGCGAACCTCCTCTCTTCTTCCACCTGACGGAAACGAACACAAAATTGCCTGGGGACCAACAATTGAGCCCCCCAATGCTGATGTCAATGATAATCATAATGATGTTGCCCACGACAATTCTACCTGCCACTGCCACCTGTCCCTGCCCCTGCCACCTGTCCTTGCCCTAGCTCACTCTTCAGCTTACCAAAATGAACATTAGAAACAGACACTTGGCTTATTTACAACTGCACTTGGTATTCATTTGCTTGCAGCTCAGGACGGAAGAGTATTTAATGCAATAATAAAGATTAATACAATATTATTTGGATTTTCCCCTTTAAAAATGGCAGGAAGGGTATGCTGAAGTTGTGCAACAGTATGTATTAGGCAGAAGACAGAATGAAAATAACAGCTAGAGACTTTAAATTTAGGATGTTCTCATGTGCCATATATCGATAAAGTTAAGTTGAGTTAATTTAATATCGAATATCGATACAAATCGATTGCCGATAGCAATAAATGACTCAATTCTAATCTATATATAATATCCACTTAAGATCAGTAAAAACAGAGATTTTGTTAATCGAAACCCCTTTTCAAAGCAGGCCAAATCTGGTTGTAGGGCATCTCCCAGTCGAGCTTTCTCGATTAAAGCATTATTTTTATATATATTATTGTTGTTTTTTATTTATTCCAGCAGCTTAGGTTTGAATCTGATAAATTATTGCGTTGATCTCAAGGGAGTTAATTGTGTTGATGATACAAATAAAAATGAAAATGTAATTATAATTACGGGCTATGTTAATTGTATTAATATTTTCACTTTGCTTTACGGGCTATGGTAATTATATTTATATTTTCGCTTTTATTTGTATAATACAAAAAATAATTTCACTTGTTTATGCTTGGCTTTATGCTTGATTCATATAAATTTTAAATGAATTTTTCACAGTATTAAATAGTTAATTTATTTTGTATCTTACTTATTATGAAATTGTAATTTGTTTTATGACGTGGAAACATCAACATATTATTCTGATTTACAGATAGATACATTTCATTCTTAATATATATCAATTATTTATTTTTAGATATCTTGCCTGTCTTATGAAAATTCTAACTTGTTGCCTTACCTGCTTTTGTTACTTAGCTAACCAAGTGTAACTAAGTAAAAGCCCTTGACTGTTATGAATCAAATCAAAATTGTTATTCATTTCTATGTTTAAATCACAACTGAATATGTTTGAGTAAAAGTGCTCATTGGGTGCTTAAATTTTCTAGTGGTTATGGGACTTACACACAATGTGTGTATGTGTCTGTGTGTGTGCCTGTAAAACATCAAGTTTGCAATAAGTGAAGACCAGTTGAGGAGGCTGGCAAAAATGGCGAATGCGCAAATAACGAAGGGAAAGCAGCGAATACCAACTGGGATTTATTTCTGACGGCCGTTGCGGCTGTTATTAAACACGTTTATTCTAAGTTTTCCCCAAAGCACTTTTTCATATTGCGTTTTACCATATTTTCGCCATGTTTTGTTGGATTGCGCAAAAATTTCAAATTAAGTTGCAGCACAGCCAACAGCCAGCAGCCAGTCAGCCAGTCAGCAGTCAGTCCACACAGACCAAACCAAATCCAAATCCAAATCCACCTCCCAGGCTCCCAGGCTGCTTGGTTGGATTCAGGTCTGGAGCTGTAAGTGAGCAACTGAATTGCATCACGTACATGGGCAATTTGCCAGCAGAATAATACAAATACACACACACACACACACACATGTACACATAATGTATATATATGGATATACAGCTGTGCAGACATAGTCTATCTGTGTGAAGGTTGTTGAACGCTGCCCAACTGGCCAAGTGGCTGACTGCCTTGCCCTGCCACGCCTCGCCTCGCCCGCCTCGCTTGTGTGGCATGTTTAATTTTCATTTGCCTTTCTTTTCCTTTCTTTATGTGTGAGTGTGTCTTTCTCATTTTTTGGCACAGGTTTCATGCTTGAGAATTTGTAAATCGCAGCGCGAAACAATGCCAAAGCATAAACTAAATAAATGCGAAATATTTTATATATTTATTCATATACATATGCGCTTCCTACACTCGGCAAAACAAAAGGATTACAATTTGAAAAGCATTTTAATACGAAAATCGCCCTGAAAACTCAGAAAAAATGGCATTAAATTTTTAAAAATCATCTTAACATGAATAACGAGCTGAAGACTGAAAAATTTGTGGTGTTTTTAAGAAATCATTTCTAATTTCTAAATAGAAAATCTTTCCTAACGAGTAGAAATGAAGGAAATACTTACTAAAATTTGTTTTAATTAAAATTAGTGTTTATTGCTTTGGCTTTGAAACTTAAATTTATTCTAAGTTCTTTAATCGACACTATATTTTTTATATTTATTTACTCTCTTAAATAGTTGAGTATCTGAAGTAGTTAAATTATAATGTCCAATAATGTTCAAGAAGGAAACCATATTTAAGAAGAGACCCTTCATGGGCAATAAATTAACAGATAAAAGTATAAATAATATTAATAATCTGATCTTTTATAAAATTATTCCTTATAGAGAATTGTAGAGATTAATTCCCTGCTGTAGATAATAGTGAATATTGTTAGCTATAAGGGTAGGCTTTAAGGGTAGAGTCATCTAATAAAATCAGTTCGAACTTCAACTCGATTCGCTCCTTTAGTGTACTAAGTACATAATAATATAAAAAAATAAAATAATAATACATAAAAAATATAGTAAAAAGAAAATACAAATAAAGAAACTGGTAGTTTGACATATTTTCTCTCTCCAATTATGAGAAAATCGAACTTCAAAATAAGAAAAGAGAAACCCTTCTAATATTTGACTATAAACTAAGCCGAAAGTAAGGCGATTTTCTAAATTTCAGGACGCTTACTTTGCTGAGTGCATGTGTTGACTATGCGTGTGTTTTAATGTGTGTGTGTTTGTGTGTGTGTGTGTGCACTCTATAGAAGGAAACAGATTACTTTTCATCGCTTTTGTCCATGCTGAGCAATTAATCTTACTGTATACAGCACACACACACACACTCGTCCTGCCCACAGCCCTTCACTCCACTCCGTCCCCTCACTTTCCGGCTCTTTGGCCATTTGGCTCTTTCGCACACACTTACCCACAACAATCATGTCCTCGTGACCGGAAACTGTCTGGAACGAAGGCGCCTCGCCGGACACTTCGCACCGATAGCGCCCCGTCGACTGCAGGCTGACCGAGCGCAGGACAACGGCAATGTCCGTTGAATTTTGCAACTGCAAGCAAATAAAATACATAAGATAAAACAAAAATTTAACGATTATTTAAAAGAAAAAAGATAAAAAGTGAAAGGCATATTCTGTAAGCGGGTCAAGTGTTGAGCAATTGCTGCAGCTATCGAAAAGAATATTTATGCTCTCCAAAATACCATTTTATGGCCGACAAAAGAGTTGCTGATTTTGCACATTATCCAGATTTAAGACGCTATAACAATTTCAAATTTTCAATTGAGAAATAAAGCAAGTGATTTATGAATTGATTGTAAAATAAGTAAGCAAATTCAATTTCTTAACTGATAAGAGGCAAACTTGAGAAACATTCAATTAATTCTTTTAAATAAAGTGTAAAATAATTAAAATCTATTTTGAAGCCGTCAAATTAGTGGCTGACTAAAGTTTTGCCGATATTGCTCAAACTTATGCAAACTTAAAACATTCACCCAAGAAATAAACCAATTTTCTTTTTAATTAATCTTAAATTTTGTAACAGAAGCGACTAAACAACAGATTTGGGCAGACACCCATCATGTCGGACGATCATGTAGATTATATAGCTCGAGACTTTCATTAACATCATCATCAGCATCACCACCCTCATCGAGCTCTCCAACATCATCCTCATCCTCGTCGTCGTCGTCGTCATCGTCCTCCTCGAAGTCATCCTCATCTTCATCATCATCATTTAGGGATGCAGCCACCTCGACCAATTCATTTAGCTCCTTATCACTCACTGGCATCGCCGTGTCCAGTTGTTCGGGAGTGGCATCAAAGTGCTCCATGGCCGCATGCAACTTCACTTGACTCTCCAGATGCATTAGGCTATGCTGCTTGTCAATTTTACCCAGACGCATTCCCGCCTCAATAGGATTGCTTTTGGGATGTTGGACCATCATTTGGGCCATCGTATCGATAGCATCGTCCTCGTCCACGGGTGGCACACACTCCTCCAACGTTTGCAGCACCTTTGATTTCTTACGTGAGTACATTTTAACAGAGCCTCCCAAAGAAGAAATAAAAATAAAAATCAAACGCAATCGAGTCGATGTATTTCCTGAATGTCGTCTGCCTGTCTACAGCAAACACTCCTAATATTGACTCTGACGAGCAAATACTTGCCTACTACAACTACTACTACAACTGCTTCTCAGTGGAATTGTGTCCTGTGAATCAGATTAGCTGCAAAAAAAAAAAGAAGAGAAAGGGACTCTTCACACTTACCTCAACATCGACACCGGGCAGCGGAAAGACCTGTCCGGGTGGCATGTCACGTGGCACATAGCGATAGAACTCGAAGCCATCCTTGTACCACTTAACCGAGTACAAGGACTCGCCATCCAGATCGTACTTGCAGCCCAAGACGGCATCCTCGTGCCGCATAATATGCTTTGGTATGCGTATCTCAGTCATTGTCAGGCAATCCACTGCAGAAAATGAGAGAGGAGTGGCATGGATTAGTTATTTAAGGAATGATGTACACTAGTCGATTAACTAAGTTTAAAAGGCGTTGTATTTCTTCTTTATTCTTTAACCAGCTATTAGAACAATGACAACTCTGGATTCGCCTGCACTTCAGCTGCTCAATGCCAGAGGCCCATAAATAACCCACACAGCAAGTGCATAAAAGTCAAGGAAATCGAAAGAAATTTCGCTAGTCGGGGACGCAAAACAATGCGCTTTTGTTTAGCCAACACAATGCGAAGGAACCGACAGCCAACCAGCCAACCAACCAACCAACCCAGTCAACTTGAGGCGTGCGAAACGTGCTCGGGATTTCTGAATACGAATAGTCGAGCAACTTCTAGCCGGGGGTGTTGAAGAATGTGGTGGAGGGTTGGTGTGTGTGGGGGTGTGTGTTCTTTGTGGACACTCGAGACAACGAAACGAAACGAAACGAAAAGAAAAGTTGCCGACTTTTAAGCGTACAACAAAAGCCCATAGGTAGGCTTAGACAATTTGGGTCAAAGTTATGGCACGAAAATCAAGATATGAAATTAATATTGCACCAGCAGCGAAGCACTGCATAAAGGCTGATAGCAGTCGTTGTTTAATGTCAGATCAACTCGGGTTGGCTTTAAGCAAGTTTCCTTGACTAAGCTGAATATCAGTAGAAAATCTAGTTTGGGTTTTGCTTGAGCTGCTCACACGCATCGCTAAATATCCACCTATATTTACCACATTCAATTAAAGGTATTTATTTTGTTAAGCAAATTAAGTCATTAACACTCCGAAATAAATCTGATAAAAAAATCAAACTGAAATTTAGAAGATCTGCATTCTTTTTGCTCAACTTATTTTTCAGAAAGCATATTTCCAGACGGCAAGATTTTATCTTTATAGAATAGAATGTTGAAAAAATATGTCAAATTGATTAAGATTTATTTTTTATTTGTGCAACACAGAATAGATAAATTATATTTTTGTTACTCATAATAATAATAAATATTTCGGAATGCTTTTTGTTGAATAAGACTTTACGAATACATCGATTTGACCTGCATTTATTTGAGAAAAATATATTTATTATTTGTTGAAATTTTCCAGGCAATTTAAAAAATTTTAAAGGGATTCTTTTGCCTTTTCAGTTCAGAATTTTATTTTCTTGTCATCAAAGGTTAAGCACAAAGCTAGCGAATTTTAGCCAGAGTTGTCAACAAGTCTGAAAGGTTTCCGCCAGTGACGTATGCAGAGCGAACTAAGTACATGCGGGAATTGCGCGACAGAAAAGCCGAGCCAATAATGGCCAAATGAATGTCTTGGGATCAATGGGGAATTTAGCATATGGGTTATATTTAGGACAGAGCGATGACAGAATGCTATAAATAGCCGTTAATGTGGTGCGTTGGCATTTTTGGGTCTAAAAATATATGCACATTTTCATTAAGCCACAGGAAGCGGCAGCATTAAAGGCATTTGACTTTTTGTGTGCGCCGCTCGAATGAAAACCACCCGCTGAAAATGCCACCCACCCACTTTGCCTGTGGCGGCAAAATAAACAAGTACAAAGCAGCGTGCGGCGACAAAGCCAAACAGACGCCATTGAAGCGGCCAGGAACCAGAATCGGGGAAACATAACTGAAGCCAGGCCCACAGCCAGCAGGCATGAGGCATACGGCATACGGCATGGGGCACAAAGTGCTGCAAGAGTCAACTTATGCGTTCTTTGAGTGTACACTCAGAAAAAAGGAAATATACATTAAGTCACCCTAAGATAAAAATCGCCATAAAAAATAATAAAATATAATAAAATTTAGAAGTACAATCCTCAGCTTAAAAAAAAACTGAACTCTTAGAAATTTTTCTTTCTGAATAATAAGGCGAGTTTCAAAAATGTAGTTCAAACTTATTTTCTGAGTGTAGTTGCGTTTAAGAGCGGCGACTTTTGCTTTTGCTCGAGCTGCGCGATTTCTGTGTGCAGGCGGACACTTTGAGCCAAGTATTTATGGCATAAGTATGACTTAGCATTATGCACTCTCAACTACCAACTCCCGACTCTCAACTTTACATATATATTTATATATATATATAGAGTGCAAGTCAAAGAAATTGCGTAGCAAAAGGTGCACTAAAGTGTGCTTGGAACCATTCTTAAATTCCCATTCCTTATGACTGTCTTTGAAAGGACTTCAATAAGCTATGCTTTGCTTTGCTTTGCTTTGGCCTTACAGTTTACTTGCGTCGCTTTGAAAATATGTATTAATATTATGCTTGTGGCTAGTTTAAAAGTCTCGAAAGTTTTTTTCACATATGTATTTTTGATTTTAAATTGTTACAGAGCTGAAAATAAATTGTGGACGGGCAAAACACGTCAAGGCTAATGCTGTCAACAAGCTAAGAATCCTGAATATTTTTGTGCTGATCCCAAAAACAACGTTGACAAATGTCAAAGTGAGGAGAGGTTTGATGCCTAGCTATCAACGGCAAACCTGGCTAATTATTTGGCCAAAAACTGAACACCGAAAACAGCAGTGAGCAACATGGAAAGTTTTGTCATCAAACGCCGTGCTTAATTAAGAAATACCATGGCAGGAGATATATATATATAGAGAAACGAAAACTTCACCATTTGATGTCGTGAACACGCCACAGTTATGTTCTAAGCACTATTATAAAGTTGCCACAAAAGTTTACTGCCAAAAATGTTGGTTGATTTTTAAATGATTTAATTTATGGCGCAAGGTCAAATGTCAGGCTCAGGTAAAAACAAAAATGAAGTCGAACAACAAAGACGAGAGTGTTGCAACTAGTGCTGTTGCCTCATGGATGACGCAAGTGTCAAACGCAGAAATTCGGTAACAGTTATTGTTATTCTTACTGTAAATTAATCTGTATATGAAACACTGTAGACAAGTTATGAACATTGAATATGTCTTCAGACATAAACTTAAAGACATTTAAAGAATGAATTAGGATTGAATGATATGTTGAAAGTAAAAAGTTGATTAAAAATTCTTGAATTTTAGATGCTGAAATAAGCTGATGGAGAAACTGAGACCAACAAGTTTTAGCTTGTGAATATCGATGTAGTTCTGACAAATGGTTATCCTATGCTCAACTCTGAATTTATTACAACCCCCAAGCAACTTTAAAATTAAAGAAGAAGAGCTATAATTTAAAATATTACAAATTTCGCTCAAAAATATCTTGCAAGCGAAATTATACAATTTTGTCTTGTAAAGTTATATACAAAATATGAAAACCTGTACTTAGATAAATTATGGGTACATACAAGATATATTATATTTAAGACTTTACATTAATAAAACAGAAGTCAACACTTTGGATTTCTTTTAGGTTAAAAAACAGGTTCCCCCTCTAGTATTAGTAAATAATGCAAATATGAAAAGACAACGGTTTGCGATATGCAAAGATGATGAGTTAGACTGATTGGTTAGTTGATGGCGACATGGATCAGTTTGAACGGGCCTGGAGCTACTAATAAAAAAAGAAAACAGTTTTTGCCTGCAGCATCAATACGCATCAATGACATGCCCCAAGCAGGGCGGTGGAAGGGGTGTGGATTTTGGGGGTGGATTGAGACAGACGGACATGGAACGTGCTTAATCTGCAATCAGAAGCGGAAGTTTGTTTCTCAGTCTGCAACAAGAGCAGCTGCGGCAGGCCTGCTGCCATTGTCTATGCCACAGTCTGTGTCCTTGCCACGTCTCTCTGTCTGCATGCCCGACTCTCTGTCTGTCTGTCTGTCTGTCCGTGTCAGGCTCGTTTTCTTCCTTCGACAATGAGTGCGTTCTTTTTTGTCAAGCTCGTTATTGTTGTTGCTGTTGTCGTTGTTGTTGCCATTGTTGTTTGTTGCTGTCGAAAATGGAGCACGTTTCTCGCCCCTTTGCTGCATTGCAGTCGCACTTGCATTTGCATAACTGCTGCGTTGCTGCACGGGAATGGGGCAGAAACAAAACAAGAGAACTTTGTCATCGATTTGAAGCCTGCTCATAGAAATGGGCAAAGCCAGCGATTTAATTGCAGCTACAAAGTCCAAAAAGAAACTTTTCCTATATATACACACAGTATTCCATTGCATTTATGTTTGTCATTTGTCTATTTGCATTTAACAACAACAACAATAACAACAACAACAACGGCGTCTAGTTGGGCCAATTGTTAACAGACTGCTCGAAAAAAGGCATTTACAATTCGTGAAACTTGGCAAATAACTAGACATGAAAACTGGAAGAAATTTTAGGAAAAATTAGAAAAAAACGTTCTTTTTTATTTTCTTAGAAGTATTTTCCATTATTAAAACAAAAATTTCTGAAAATTTATTTGTAATCTTACAAAAATAATGTTTATTTATAATATAATCATGAATGAAAAAACTCCATGAAAATTAGTCATATTTCAGTTAGATGTCTTGTCTGATTAATTTCAATACTAAGTTAATTTGCTTAGTTGTGTTGATTATGTCATAATAATAATTATATTAAAGAGATAGAGAGAGAGAGAGAGAGAGAGAGAGAGAAGGAACGGAAAAAGAGGTTCCACTCATGTCAATACCATGTTCAGCATGATTGAACTATAACGTTTTGTTTCCTATATTTAGATTCAGGCAGGTCATCAAAAGGTGAAAGTGCACAAAATGAATACAAATTATGATAATAAGCTGAACAAGAATGTGAAATTTGTTGGAAAATAAATCAAAGCAGCTGTGACAATGTACAAACTATGATTGTCAAATGCAACAATTGCTATTTTCTTTAATTAGGATATCAATTAAAGCAGGCAAACACTCACACACACACACACACACACATACGCCTACACACATAAACAGCTGTAATAATATAATTAAAATTAGTTTCGGCTTGTAAACTGCCTGTTGGCAAAAACTCCAAACACACACAACGAGGCTTATTTATAACAATAACCATAATCGATTAATTCAATTAAATTGAAAACATTAATTTTGCCAGCCATGATTAATTACACCACCAGTCAGATACACCACACACACCACCCACACACTCACACCTCAAAATTGATATGCAGCTGTGTAAATTATTCTTGTAGACTTGAAAATATGTGAGAAAAGTGTTAATTAATTTGCCTAAATGCTACTAAGTGATTCAATTAATTTATAACAATATTTGCTGAATGTCGTCTTTTAATCAGCTGCTGCATTAATACACCCCCGTACATAATTCTATGGACACCTCTTCATTTTTTTTGTATTACCTGGCAGTTGGCAGTCTGCGTGTTGGTTAACATTAGTGGCATGTAGGGCGGCCAATAAATATGTGCTTCCCTTTTGGCCATTTTGATTACATTTCGAGCCACGTTTACTTAATTTCATTATTGCTGCTCACTTTCCTTTCTCTATATAAATATTTCTTTCTTTTTTTTGTTCATTGGATATTTTTTGTTTCGCTTGGAAAATGCGTACGTGACCTCGTAATAACAGTAAGCAAGATTTTTATCTATAATTCAGTGGACGCGCTTTCCGAGCCAATTAAGTGAACAACAACAACAGCAACAGCAACAACAACAACGATAACAATAATAACAATAATAACAACTACCGCCCCTTGCTGTAATAATAATCATTTTCATTTTCAGTCTTTTGCAGCCTGTCTAGACGACGTTGTATTTGTCAATTATTACTTGCCCCCGACTCGTATTTGATCAAATTATTTGCTTAAAAGAAAAATGCTGTTTTCTCTCTGCTTTTTTAACTGTGAATACTAAGCAGAGGCAGCAGCAAAAAACATATTCACTCCGTCAACTTGTCTCAGTTCCAAACTAAAGAAATTGTACAAAAAAACGAGGAAAACAAGTGATAATGATGGAAAGTTCAACACTGTTAGTTCATTAATTAAATGCGTGCAAGTTTTGGCAAGGAACTCGTCAACGCAACTAACTAACAAGCACTCTTCTTTAATTAATTAATGCAACATCCACAAATAACTGGCAGATGCTTATGAAGTGTGAAAATTGTTAATAAAGTTGCGCATAGCATAAAACACGTATACGCACTGTATGCCGACTAGAGTAGTAAAAAAGCAGTTAGTAATTATATATATTATTTAATTTGCTGCATATGAGTAAAACTTTCCCAAGCTACTCAATAATCACAACAACTGTGTCAAGGATACGAAAATGAACTGCTGCTGAAATTCTCTGACAAATTTTTGTCAACAAACTTAAATGAACTTAAACTATCTTTTCTTATGCTTATCTTTTGCAGCTGTACAAGCGTCTAGACTGATTATTTTATGATTATATTTATTTAGGAGAGCTCTCATCAGTTGTCGATTTAGTTTTTAAGCTAAGCCTTAAGCTAGTATTTTAAGCAATAACATCAGTTTGAAATAAAACTCAGCTGGTGCAACACACTTCAGATATTATAATATTTTGTAAGCCTTTCTACTATTCTTAGCCTTCTTTGAATTCGTCTTCTTTGTTCTTGCTGTCAGTATACAACTATTTCTTTAGCTTCAGCAAATATAAAACAACAATAATAATTAAATATATAAAAATACATTATCTATTTTGTATTTATAAATTTGAGCCACTATTTATTTAGCTTCAGCAAATAGCAGCCAACAATAATAATTATAAATAAGATAGTATTAATCTAGACTAAGCCTATATCTCGTATCTGTCTTACTATTATAGCAATGATATTTAACAACTATTTATATAGCTGCAGAAAATACAAATCCCCGCCATAAATTAAGTCGCAGCAGCACAAAGGATGTCAGTTAATTCTGTTTATATTTTTCAAGTAGTTCAAGTTTGATGAACTTAATTAAAAATAAGTAAAGCAAAAGTTCAGATTAATGCGTCAAGGCTGAAGGCTGAAGGCTGAAGCGAAGTTCGTGAAGAGGGTTAAACATGCCACAAAGTTTATCGTTTCGCCAATGTCTACCACAGATTTGCGATTTCTCGAACATTTTGCCAATGGATTCCAAAACCGGATTGCTTTGATTCTGCAACAGTCGCTGACTTTCTCTCTCTCCCCCTCTCCCTATCTCTTTCTCTCGAAACTGTCAAAGTTCCTGTTTTGGGCAGAGAATAACTCGACACGGCCTTAAATCGATTAAGTGGTCGTAAGCAAAATATATCCAGAGTGTCGGTATGTCGGTGTGTTGGTGTTTTGGTATGTGCCACACACAGGGGCGCCAAAATTGTGGCAGCCGTGGTGTCTGCCAACTAATATTGTTGGCTAAAATATTTGCACGCCCTCCCCCACCCACAAAACCAATAAGGGGAGGGCTGCTTTTGGGGGAGGGTCGACAAAAAGTAAAACTTCTTTGGCCAATTTTTGTGGGTCTCGTTCGTCGCTTTTGGCCAAAGTTGCTAATAAATTAAATAAACATTCTCAACGTTGCACGCCTGATACCGTTACTACCAGTTACCCCTTCCCCTTCTCACGCTTAAAAAATACACTTAGAAAAATATTAGAAAAAATGTGATTTTGTTCTTGCAAAAATTCTCCATAAAAAAAGCAACTGCAAATTTTAAAAAATCACAAGCACAAATTTTAGAAATAAACTTTCTGAACAACATGGTGACTAACCATAGACGGCCAAAGTGTGGCAATTTACTAAAATTTTGGGTTGTTTATTTTGTATGAGTGTACTACTCACCAGTGCTGGGCAGTAGGATTGCCAGAGTTGCCAGTGTTGTCAGCAGCAGGCTGCATAAGGATGCCGTGTGGCAAGTGGTGCAGCAACAGCAGCAGCCGTCGCTCAGTTGCAGGCAGGGGCCACAGCGTCGTCGTCTATGCAAAGTTGCACCCATTTTGTTGCATTAATGTGTTGCCACTACTTTTTCCCCTCCTCTCTGCTCGCCCCTCTTCTCTCTCTCTCTCTCACTCTTTCCCTCTGCTCCTCTTTTGGTTGCTTGCAACACTTTTTCTTGGACAAGTTTTGCTTGCGTTGCTTTGGTAAACTTTAATTTTTCAATTTGTTGCGGTATTTTTTGGCTTATTTTTCTTCGTTCCAGCCACAGTTTGGGATTGTTATTTGTTGTTTTTTCTCTTTTTTGCTGTTTCTTTCTCCTTTGACTGCTTTTACTGCTGTTTGCTTTGCGTTTTACTTTTTTGTTGCTGTTGTTGTTGTTTGCTTTTTTTGTCTCATTTGCTCAATGCAATAAATTTCGCCTTGACCGCCAACGAGGGAACGCGTCATCCGCCAATGGCTCCAAGTTCTTTTGCTCCACTTGCTCCTGCTTTTTCTGCTCCTCTCGCTACTCTTGCTCCTTCTGCTCCTCTTACCTCTCCTGCTGCTATGGCTCTTCTTGCTCCTGCTCCTCTTGCACCTCCTCCTTGTTTTAGTTTGTGGCCTGCGTTTTGTCGTTTGCTATTTATTTTTATTTTCCATGCGCTCCTTTTGCTATTTGCTCTTCTTATTATGCGCTACACACGCACACACACACACACAAAACACACAGACAGTCGCACACACACACACACCTTGAGTGTAAAAGTATTCACAGTTACACACAAACACACAGACACATTTACATGTGTCCCTGGCCGTGTTTGTTCAGCAATTTGTGTTTGTCTATTTGCACGCGTTTGTTTCTGCTTCTTTTTCCATTACAGTTTGCCTTCCTTCTGCTGCTGCTGCTGCTTCTTCTTCTTCTTCTTGCTCTTCTTCTTCTTGTTAATGCTGTTGTTGGCTGATCCTGCTGCTCGCTTAACGCGTGCACGAAATTAATTCAAACATCAGCAATACGACAGTTTTCCCATTGCATCAAACAGCAACATTCAACTGCAAAGAAATATGAAATAAATGAGTTTAAGTTGAGTTTTAGTTTAAGTATTTTTCTGATTAAGTTCAATTTTAAATTTATCTTAGATTTCGCTTTTTAATGTTTCTCAGTTATTAATTAGGCTATTGTTTTAAACCTTCTTTATTCTTATCATTATTAGAAGAAGGACAGATTCCATTCGTCCTCATCAAGTATTTATATAAATTACTTTTCAATTAGAAACGATTTGATTAGGTTCAATTAGGCTTATAAATCATTTCTATTATTTCTGCCAGACTGTAAATAAACTATCCATAAATACTCAGTACTCAATTTAAAATGTAAAGACACCTATCATCACATTTATCTATTTAACTTGCTGTTATTCGATATGCGTAGTTGGGACGTAATAGGCGAGAGTGCTTGGCTAGGAGATACCCTTTTAAATATATAGTTATCAATATAATTAAATAAACTTGATGTGACTCTGGTAAATGAGAAGGTATATTTCTAATTTCTCTAGCTCTACATATTCCCCACTGCTTTGTCTTTTGTTACCAGCGGTTATCGACTTGTATCAATATCTTCGTGTTGGGGCAGTTATCGATCAAATAAAATAGACTTGATCTGCATATAAAAATAAGAGAAAATGCAGACAGACAAGAGGTCATTGCTAAATCGACCCGACATCTGTTGCTGATCGGGAATATATATGTGTAACGGATTTGCAGACATCTCCTTCTGCCTGTTGCATTCCTTTTAGTTTCCGAGTGAATCTAGTGCTGTGCAATAAACGCAATTAAGACGCTTGCTGAATGCATAAATTAATCAACTCGCATTCGGATTCGGTTTCCCATTGTGTGTTATTGTCTTTGAGCGGCGTTGCTTGAAATTTCATTTACATAAAATCAATTAAGCAAACACAAGAAATTCTGCACACACGCACAACAAACACACGCATTGTGAAAACTTTTCAAATGAAAATCATGTTTAATAATTAGAAGCTATGAATAATTTTTGGCACCTTGTTTTCAGCTATTTAAAACGAGATTCACGCATACATTCATGCCACAGACCCATTGAGTGGCTTATGTAAAATAGTAAGTTGTTCTTGGACCACGCTGCGTATACATGATGTCTGTCCTAGTGTCTGTCCCCCACAGTGTGTGTTTGGTTTCCATATATATATGTATATATATATAAGCAAATAAATGGAGGACTTGAGAGGCATTTGCATAGCCAAGTTCTGTTTTCCTCAGCCTTTTGCATAATTAATTATGTGGCTAGAATGGCGTCGTCTTGTTAAATATGCAAATAACCAAAGCACAAACTAAGCACTACACTACGAAAAAAAATCAACCCTAAAATGAAATAATAATGTACAAATCATTTCTAAATATTGAGCTACAAATTTCTAAAACTTTGAAATGCTTGTCTTTAATAAAAAATTTCAAATATATGGCGACATTTACAAGTTGTCAGAAATATTTTCTATTAATAAGAAACACATTTCTAAAAAGTGGAAGTGAAAACCCCAATTTTCTACTACTACTTACTAGCACGGCTTTTATATATTTGAGTTAAGAGGAAGTTATTAAAATTGAGAAATTTGTCGAATTTTTCCCTTGTGTAAGAACTAAGGTCGAAGGACGAAGGACATCACCTCACAAAGGTCATTCACATGTTGGGGCTGCTGCTGCTTCTGTTTTGGCTGCCGGCTTACAAGTCACTTTGGCGCAGCGATGCTGTGAATCCATCTTTGGCCGCTTCAACAAATGAAATTAAATTACGCATACGCAGCGAGTGCCCAAAAGAGAAAAAATACAAAACACTCATTTCAAAAACTGACAGGCCAAAAAAATAAGCGAAGCAAATATTTCAATTGCCGTGTTCAATGGATTGCAGCACAAAGACAGCCACAGCACACACACACACGCTCACTCACACACACGCGCACACACAGATGGTAAACACGTGCTGTTATTTAGGCCAAACTCTGATGAATGCTGAGTGAATGAAGAAATGACTGAATGCCGGCATTGCTTGACTGACTAACGGACGAACAGACTGACATACGGACAAACTGACTAAATAACGTTGTTTTGAGCCTGGCCATTTATTTTGCTGCTGCTGCTGTCTCTCTGTGTGTGTGTGTGTTAGGGCCATGGCCAAAGGTTTTTTGCTTTAAAATTCAAGCTTAAGCTTCAGCATAAGCGAATATATATTTTTATAAAATATATATATAATTTGATATATGTATACAATAAATAGGTCAATATTTCAACTCTGTTAAGCTTCGTCAAATATTTATAATTTTTTATTGAATATGTGAATATTATAATGTTTTGCCTTGTGGCTTCTTTAAAACAGTTTTTATATATTCATATTGTAAAATATATATTTGTATTTACTTTTCAACTATAAACACAAAAAATGATTTAATTTACACCTTTTTTGCGTTGTAATTTCTTCAGAGCATTTTATAATAGTTTTCCGTAGAGTATTGCGGTATTTAAATATTTCATATTTATTTCATATTTTTTTGCCTTATTTTAATATTTTAAATGGCTCTTATTTTATAATAGATATATTTTTCAATATTTATCGTACACAAAAACGGCAATCTTTTTAATTTAATTTCTTTTAAATTTATATTAAGCATTTCCCGGTCGATTAATCCATAAACTCTCAAAACTTTTCTCGTTTGCATGCAGAATTATAAATAAAGTTCCCAATGAAATTCTTAAAATAAATACTGCCAGCAATTTAGCATAATTTATTTTTATACATATATTTTTAATTAATTTCTCAAAGGGAATTTTGCACAAAGTAAAGGTATTTGCCTAAAGCTGCATTAATTTATATATTTTTAAATACATTTTTGTGGCAAGGGGGCAACTCAAATTGCTTATAGTTGCAACCAGTGCCCAAATTGGAGCCATAAAATAGCACAATTTGTGTCTGCCTTATTTAGGCCGTTTTATGGCTAGAATTTCATAATTATAGCTAATTTATGTGGACACCTGAGGCCAAGGTGTAAAAGTTCAACAGAAAATTGCGGGCTGCAAAAATTATGGAAAATACTCACTTTTTAGCGCGCTGTTTTTCGAATTGAGCTTTAATAATAACTATATTAATATTTTTGGCCAGGAAGTCGATGATGTTGCTGGTAATAAGAAAAGTCAGCTTTTTAGCTGCTGCCGGCAATTGGAATTATTCTTATTTGCTTTTTTCCGTTGAGGGTTGTTGGCCTTAAAGTTTGAATTCTAGTTTTGTTTTCTTGTTTTGTTTTTTTGTTGTAGCATTAAAATAATAACAAATGATTAGTTGACACGCACGTAACGGTACTTTCATTCATAATTTATGCATTTTAATTTGTCAAGCGAACACACACACAAACACAAACCACGAATATGAATATGGAAACGAATACACTCACTGAATGTTTTTCGAGTTGTGTTTTTGTTGTGGTTGTTGTTGTTGTCTTTGTTTGTTTGTTTGTTTTTTGTGCCTCGTCACACACACGTATTCATAATTCTCGCATTGCACTTCTAATTCACGCACGCACACACACTTGCACACTCTCGCACACACACACACACAGACATGCTGTTATCGTCGTCGTCGTTGTTGAAATCGTCGCTTTTTGCTTGTCGGCAGTCGGAGTCGCAGTCGCAGCGCAACTTGTCGTCGTCTCAACCACACAGCACCAATAACCGAGCAAGACTAAAAGCTTTGCTCTCCTCATTACCTGGTTTTCACTTTGGCGCCACACATACACACCACGACCGACCCGAACGCCGCCCGAACCGCTGACCGATTGACGCCCAACGAACCGTTATCTCAGAGGATAAGCACAAGAACCGAGCTAAACTTGGACCTAAACCAGTTTCACATTGTCTGAGGTTGCGAACAAAACGAAACGAGAGCGCGCGAATCGAGAGAGTGCCAGCTTTTGAGAGCACGACAGTGGGAGAGAGAGTGAGAGAGAGCGAGTGTGTGCACGAAGGGAAGGCTGCTTTGCTCTTGCTGCTACTCTCTGCTCTATCTCTCCGCACTCTCTCTCATGTTTCATTTCCATTTTATTTTGCAGCTTTTGCCGGCGTACAGTTAGATTTTTGAATAAAATAGTGGGAAATTTTGTAACTGACAGCAAGAATCAAACACATTTCAGATATAAATTTCAATATCAGCAAATCAAGCGCGAAATTGAAAAGTGAGTCTAAAAATTAAACTGAGTGTTAAAAGTATATTATTGAAT